GTTCTTCCACAGAGCAGCGGTTCGCCGTTCCGGGTTACGCAGATTCGGTGGCGACTCGGTGGCCCCGACCAGAGACTGAAGTCTCTGGCGCACACGCGCCGCCTCCGGTGTATCCGGATATTCATCTAAAAAGCTCTGGTACACCTTTTTGGCATGCGCGTGCTGCCGGTTACGCTCGCGGGAAACACCCAGCTTCTCGAGCGCTTCAATCCGCAGCGCGGGATCTTTCGATGCCTTGGTGTACAGCGAGATGGCTCTCGGCCAGTCTTTATCGGTATAAGCTTTTTGCGCCTCATCGAGCAAAGCACGGTCGAGATCTTCGACAAACTCGACACTGGGCTCAAACTCAGGCGTGTCTTCAACAATTGTATCCGGCGTCACCGCTCGTGCCGCTAACGCAATCTGCGGCTTCACTTCTGCAGCCGGTTTGTTGCTGCCCGGGAATAAACGCAGCACGCTGGCAATCTCGTTTTCCTGGGCCGACACGGCCACAATTTTTGCGCTTGGGAAAGAACCACGCACCTGTCTCAGCGCAACAGCCGCTGCGGTTTCTGTAGCGAAAAAACCAATTCGTTTATTCGAGCGACCCACAGGATCAGTGTAGATAATCTTGTTACGCACAAGGTCGATTGGCAGAGATCTGCTGGTAAGTAACTTATCTACACTCACCTCAACCACATATTGGTCTTTGCTTGCTCGACTGTTTTGCTGTGCGAATCGCGACAACACTCGATCTGGTATGAAAGACAGCCTCACACCCATTGTGTTGAGCTGCGGTTTAGCCTCAACGGTATAGCCTGGCTGGGTGTTAAGTGTGATCTGCACACCGGCCTTTCTTGAGCCTTCAAGTTTTACCTGCTGGATGACCCTGCCATCCTCTTCAAATTCCAACTCGATAAATTGCCAGCCCTGATCCGTGACTTCGACAGCAACATCTGCGCTTGCCTGAAAAACACCATCGCTGATCTGTACAAATTCGCTGGTCAGAACCAGGGGCACACCAAATCGAGCTGAGACGTCCACAATATCCTGCGACTGGGAGGCTTCACTTATACCGGTCAGCCAGTTTGCCGCATGAGCAGATGACGTCACCCAGCTGCTGATCAGGATCATCAGAAAAACAAACAGATTAACGTTCAGCCGATGCGTCACCATTCGCTATCGCTCACGTCATGGCAACCGCTGCCGGAACAATCCCGGTCCTGATCAATGCCGTTGTGATCGTCTTCACCCGGCTCATAGTCGTTGAAATGACAGCCTGCACAATCCGGTTGATAGGCGGGCGCCGGCCAGTTAACCGTTTCCGAGTTACCCGTGTGACAATCCGTACAGGCCAGATTATCTCGATGATCCAGCGGCTCAAACGTCAGGGTTGTGTGGGCAAAGGTGTCCGGCACCCAGAAATCTCTGGTATGGCAGTCGTCACACTCTGCCGTCGTGATGAAATGGCCAGGGTTCTGCCCGGTTGCTGTCACACCATCGTGACATTGGCTGCACGTGCCCGGCGCAACGCTGGCATGGTCAAATTGTGCGGGCAGCCAGGCCAGGGTTGAATGACAATCGTCACATTCCGCATTGGTTTGAATGTGGTCTGCTGACTTACCGGTTGCCGTCATTCCATCATGACACTGGGTGCAGGTACCCGCCGCAACGCCTGCATGATCAAACACTGCCGGCACCCATGCATCGGTTGTATGGCAATCATCACATGAGTCACTGCTTGGAATATGTTGTGGGTTTTTGCCTTCAGCAAAGCCGCCGTTATGACAGCTGACGCAGCTGCCAATCACCTGGGTGTGATCTACCGTCACTGCGGGGTCCCAGAAATTTACAGAGTGACAGTCCTCGCATATGTCGGTTGTTATCATATGGTTGGCATTCTTGCCTGTAGCATCAACGCCGTTATGGCAGCTGACACAGCCCTGGGTAATATTGCCATGGTCAAACTCAACCGGCGTCCAGACAATATCGTTGTGGCAGGTATCGCATTCGGCGGTAGTTTGCATATGCCCTGGAGGTAATCCCTCCGCATACCCACCGTTGTGACAACCCAGACAATTGCCAACCACTTCAGCATGATCCACTTCAACAATGGCGGTCCAGTCTGCGGTGATATGGCAACTTTCACAGAACTCTGTTGTTGGCATGTGGGTAGGAGTGAGTCCGGTATCGGCCAGCACCCCGCTGCCATCGTGACAGGCCTGACACTCCCGCGGCGTGCCCTGAAAGCGGCCCGCCTGGTGGCACGATGCACAATCTACAAACTGATGTGCGCCATCTAGATCGAAACCATGCTGGAAATGATCGTAAGCCTCTGTCGCTGCAGCCACATAGCTCGCAGAGAACAGCAGCGACACCAGCACAAGAACCGCCGATAGATGCTTGTTAGATCTCATCAGCGGATCCTCGCAGTATCATCAAAACTTTCCGTTGAATGGCAGCGCTGGCAGTCATTACCAAATTGTCCCGCGTGGATATCATCCGCCAGGTGACAGCTGACACAATCCGTTGAGGTGTTTTCCGCAAGCCCCAGATCCGGGTTGTGGCACGAGGCGCAGAGCAGATCAGAATGCGAACCAGAGAGCACAAAGACGGTCTGTTTGTCATGATCAAACTGCCATAACTCCCAGCCGCCAGGGGTATGACAGTCGCTGCAGCTTTCACCGAAGCTCCCTTCATGTTTATCGTCATCCAGATGGCAATCTGCGCAGGCCTGAGTGGCGGTATTGAACACCTGTGAGTCATGGCACTGGTCACAACTTGCAAGCTGATGCAGGCCGACCAGCGGAAAACTGGTGAATTCATGATCGAAGCGAATGTCTTCTCGCCAGGCCTTTACAGAGTGGCAGCTGTCACAGGCCCCCAGGGTTTCTTCGTGTGGGTCATCTTCGGTATGACACCCTTCGCAACTGGTGGATAGAGGGGCCTCCAGGCTTTCGGTATGGCAGGCATCACATGTCAATTCCATATGACTACCGACGAGGGCAAAACCAGTTTCGTCAGCGTGATCAAATTCGACTGTCCAGGCATTGGAAGTATGACATTCTCCACACTCCGCACCCCGTTTGCCCTGATGTACATCATCCGCGCTGTGGCACCCTACGCAGGTGGTGGGTGGCTCGGGTAAAGACATCGCAGTTAAGTGACAGCTGGCGCACTCTAATTTGCTGTGCGCCCCCACCAGCTCAAAGTCTGTTTCCTGAGCGTGATCAAATTCACTGGTTTGCCAATCGGCAGGCGTATGGCACTGCTCACATTCGCTACCCCGGGTGCCGTTATGAACATCATCAAGCTTGTGACAATCAACGCAGCCATCGGGTGTATCTTCAAAATGGTTATCCACATGGCAACTGCTGCAGGACTGGTCTTTATGCTCGCCTACCAGGACAAAATCTGTCGCAGTATCGTGTTCAAAAGTGACCTCAGACCATCCGGCAGGGGTGTGGCAATCTGCGCAGGTTTCGCCTAGTCCGCCGTCATGCCGATCGCCCTCACGATGACAGTCAATACACTCGTCGGCGGTTCCCCGGAAGGGCTCGTCAGGTGTGTGGCAACTGCCGCAGGCGGCGTTTGCATGCGCATCTACAAGTTCAAATTCGGTCAGATCATGATCAAACGTTTCTGGAATCAACCCGGTGATGTCTTTATCACGGCCTTGATGATCCGTATGACAGCTGCGACAGGCCAGCTCATCAACCGCAGGGTTTCTGCCATGGAACTGTTCCTGGCGGGTTATATCAGTGGCAATGTCTTCGTGACAATCAAGACACAGTGCAGATTGCCTGCTTTGATCAAAGTTCTCGTGGCAGGACTCACACTCACTTTCGAATTCTGCATGCAGCTCGGTCAAGGGTCCCGGACTGATCAACGATTCAAAACTGGCACCCAGCGCTGGATGCATGTGCAGCAGCATCAGCACTGCGGCCCAACGTAAAAAGGGTAATGGCTTAACAGGTACTGGCAAAACTAAGCCGCTGTATCATACAAACGCCATTTTTTAGTACATGTGTACCGCGACAACGTGAACGATCGCTGCAAGCACTAGCAGCAGGAAAAGAGGATAGTGCACTATATGCCACAGTGAGAACAGGCTTTCAAAGGCGCGGTATTGCGCAAACTTCCTTAACAGCAATGTTCTCGTACGCAAATAGTTTTTCAGATTCTGTTGCAGACGATGCTGATGTTCACCAACAACTAACGACTCATTTGAGGCTGATTCAAGCACCGCCATGGCTTGGGCCTTGAGCTGTCGATACTTAAGCCTTGATGTCACAGCGACAGTAGTCGCTACCCAGAAAGCACTGAAGAAATTCTGCTCTTGTTGCAGAATGCTGTCTTCCCACTGATTCAGCTCTTCATTGATCGATGGCACCAGCTTGGCAATGCCTGTTCCGCTGCCTCTCAACTCCGATAGATCAGCACGCAGGTTCACCAGGGAAGCACGGCGTCCATAAAGTCCGTAATGCAGCTTGGAGTAGAAATAGCGGCCAACAATGCCACTGGACGCCACAATGATCATACAGAAAAGCGCAACCCGGCTGTTCAGCGAACCCAGCTCAAAGTTGCTGTGAAAGATGATCAGCAATGGTCCGACGATGCCCAGAATCATGTGCAGCTTAAACCAGTAGCGTACCGGGCCGGCGTTACGCATGGACTTGGCACGTTTACGCGCAGGATAGAACAGCAGCAGCAGCATCGCCACGCTGCCAATAATACCCAGCCAATAGCCCAACCCTTCCTGCGCACGGATCAGATCAAGGTCAGCATTGAGCCAACCTAAAATAATCAGCACGGCGACAAGACAGTATCCGAGCAGCGCAAGTAAGTTTTGTGAAACAGAATCAGAAATGTTGTTGGGATTAATGATCAGAGCCTTTCGATTGACCTGTTCAGTATAGCTAACGAGGCCACCACGTAATTGAGAAGCAATTCGCACATGAATGTATTTTAGGGAGGATAATCCCTTTCCTGAGCGTGCTGCAATTCACCCCCTGGATTTTATGTCTGAACAATTCATCACATTGAGCTACTACCTGGCGCCTGCGCTGATTGTTTACGCGCTGTACCTGTCAAAACACAAACGCAAGCAGCAGAAAAATCGCGCTGTGTTCCAAGAGGCCGTTGAAACCGGCATGACGTCACCGCCTTCACTGCATCCTGTCGTCGATAAGGCCCTGTGCATAGGCTGCGAGGCCTGCGTACATGCGTGCCCGGAATTCCCCGCACATGACGTTCTGGGTGTGATCAAAGGCAAAGCCAACCTGATATCACCCACCGACTGCATTGGCCATGGCGCGTGTAAAACCGCCTGCCCCGTCGGTGCAATATCGCTGGTGTTCGGCACCAGCGAGCGCGGTGTGGATATACCCAACATTTCACCGGAATTTGAAACAAACATTCCCGGCATCTACATTGCAGGCGAGCTGGGTGGAATGGGACTCATTCGCAACGCCGTGGAACAAGGCCGTCAGGCGCTGGAATACCTGACCGCACGCAAGCGAAAGCTTGAAGGCGGCCTCGACGTCGCGATCATCGGCGCTGGCCCGGCAGGTTTTGCCGCAACCCTGGCCGCCCACGAAAAGGGTTTAAAGTATGTCACCCTCGAACAGGACGCTTTAGGCGGCACGGTAGCGAACTTTCCCCGCGGCAAGCTGGTCATGACCGCCCCTGTAGAATTACCGTTGTATGGACAAATGCGCTTCCGGGAGACTCAAAAAGAAGACCTGATTAATTTCTGGCACAAAGTTGAAGAGCAGACAGGCATCAATATTCACTATTCAGAGAAACTGGAAAACATTGAAACGCTGGACAACGGTTTTCTGGTCACCACCACTAAAAACAGCTACAGAGTAGCCTCGGTTTTACTGGCACTGGGGCGTCGTGGTTCGCCCCGCAAGCTGGACGTACCTGGCGAGGAACTGCCTAAAGTCACCTACAGCATGATTGATCCGGCCGAGTATGCGGGTAAACGTGTTTGTGTTGTTGGCGGCGGTGACAGCGCCCTTGAGGCCGCTTGCGCGATAGCAGCAGAACCTGGCAGTCAGGTGCTCTTGTCGTATCGTTCCGGCGCATTCTCCCGCGCCAAACGCAAGAATCGTGAACACGTTGAGCGGCTCGTGAACGACAACACCATACGTGTTGAACTGAACAGTCAGGTGACTGAGATAGCACAAGACAACCTTACCTTGAGCTACGAACACGATGGCAAGGGGGTCACCGAATCTATCGGCAATGATGCCGTCATCATCTGCGTGGGCGGCATTCTGCCAACGGGTTTCCTGAAAGAAGTTGGCATTACCGTGGAGACTAAATTTGGTACCGCTTGAACAAATACGAGGCAGCGGTTCCATCACGAGGATTGTCATGGCGCTGATCCTGACCTGGGCTTCAGCTGGCCACGCCGATACGTCTGCAGACGTCAAACAGATGCTCAGATTAGGAGACTACGAGCGCGCGGCGCAGATACTGCAGAATAACAGCGAAGACCCGCAAAACGTCTATCAGCTGGCACAGATCTACCAACAGGAATTGCTTAGACCACCCGCCAAAGATTCAGCGTTTCAGCTGTTCAAACAGGCCTCTGATGCAGACCATGTGCAAGCCACTTACCAACTTGCAAAGCACTTTGAACGCGGCGACGGCGTACCTCAAGACCTGGCCAGAGCCCGGGCCACCTATCAAAAGGCAATGGATCTGGGTCATCCAAAAGCCCACCAGGCCATGTCCCGTATAGCTGACTCAGTTGCGGCGCCCACTTTATCCGTAGATGATGCCTTGAGTAGTTGCGATGAAACCGTAATTACAACTGCGCTCGCAAGCAGCGGCTCGTTTGAGCAGAACTGGCTGTTCCGCGCCATTGATTGCAATGGCAGCACCTCACTCTACACCGCCCTTATAGATGCGGGCGCAAACCCGAACGCCCGGGACAAGCACAACAATCTTGTTTTACATCGTGCAGTGGCGCGGGAAGCCGTTGCTGCGGCTATTGTGCTAAAAAATGCCGGTGCGGATACAAAACAGAAGAACGACCAGGGCTGGTCTGCCGCCATGCTGGCCGAGCGCTCCGACAATCCCAGGTTACGCAAAGCATTTAACAATGCTAACAAACAACCTGACACAACCATCAGCACCGATTTGTCTGTTGCAAGCCGCGAGGCACGGTTCAAAGGATGGTCATCCCTGCACATTGTTGCGTGGCGGGGTGACATCAGACTTGCAGAGAAGTTAATCGCCGACGGCGCTGATGTTAAACAAGTTGATACTACTGGCGTTACTGCGCTAACCAGAGCTTTGCAGAATGGCCATGCCGATATGGCAAGCCTGTTACTGGAAAACGGCGCCGTGTTCTCAGAAGCAGACTTCGAATTTATCAGCGCAATAGAAAATCCGCGCCTGATCCGCAGCATGGCGACCGCTGCAGACGCAACCAGGGCAGCGTTTGTCTGCCACAGCCTCAACCAAGGTGAAAACCAGATACTGGCTCTGTTACCTGCAGACACCATTGCCAGTGTGAATCTATGTGGTGATAAACCCGCGCTTGTCTTGGCTGCTCGAAATGGCGATAAGCAAACTGTTTCCCATCTGTTAAACAACAAACCAGACGTTGAAGCCACAGACCCGCTGGGCTGCACCGCACTTTGCTGGGCAGTTAAAGCCGAACAGGATGGCGTTGTCCCTCTGCTCATCTCGCATGGGGCAAGCAATACACCCGATCAGCATGGCGTCACACCGCTGATGTGGGCTGCTCGAACCGGCAACCTGCAGGCAACCCAGCTGCTGCTGTCACATGATCTGGATGTGAATCAACAAAGCAGTTCTGGCTCTCACCCATTGCTGCTGGCGGCGACCGCAGGCCACACTACAATTGTTGAATGTCTGCTCGATCGCGGCGCCGACATCGACCTGAAAAACTCGCGGGGTGACACAGCTCTGATCGCTTCAGTACAAGCAGATCATTATGAAACAGCTAAACTTCTCATTGGCAAAGGTGCAAGCACCCGTGCGAAGAACGCTATGTTTGTCAGCGCACGCGAATTACTGGCGTCTAAAGAGGGGCGTTGGCAACAACTTGTAGAAGAAAAACCCAGCTTCTGGAGTCTGATCAATTGAATATAAGAAAATTTGCCACATTCCCGGTTATCTGCCTGGCGATGTTTGTCTCTGGCTGCAGCCAACCTGCTGAGCCGGTGGATCGTCAGAGTGTTACCGGTATGCCTTCCGACCCCGAATCAACTTTGTTGGCTCGCGTAGAAATATCCGGCGAGGCCACCAGCTTCCCTGCCGAGGCCAAAGTGTTTGTGTTTATCCGCGAAAAAGGCAAAACCATGCCGCTCGCGGTAGAACAGTTTGCACCCCAGGATCTGCCTGTTCAGGTGGGCTTTTCAAAACCTGAAGCGTCGATCACCACCATTGAAGCCATTGCCCGCCTCTCCATGACCGGCGCCGTCATGAAACACCCCAATGACCCGGAAGTGATCAGTGAACCTCTGAGCACACAAAACTATGCCCGCACCATTCGTCTGGTTATCCCCCAGAACGCGCTGGCGGACGCAGGCCCGAACGACGCTGCGGTGCGAGTGGCGGTAACAATTCCGCCGCAGGTGCAAACCAGCCCGACCGCAAGATTGTTTGTGATTGCCAAGATGGAAGACGGCTTGAACCCGATGCCCGTGGCGGTGAAGGCTTACAATATTGACGACATACCGGAAGAAATTGTGCTCACCGACCGCGATTCAATGATGTCTGTTGCACGTTTAAGCCGCAACAAGGCGGTCCAGGTGACGGTCCGACTGTCTCAATCAGGGACCACTAAACAACAGGCTGGCGACTGGGAGAGCCAACCACAACTCATTGCCACTAAAGATGCCGGACTTAACAGATTCGAGCTGACTGAAGAGGTTAAATAGCTGTGCAGTTCCGACAATTTGTGACCGAGATCACTTAATTGCATTGATCAGGAGGCGGATACTCAGAGATCTGCACTGATGCATCGGCTACCCGGGTCCCGCGCGTGAACACATGTTCCTTCATCATCTAAAACAACAGAGCATCGCCATTGCGCTGCTGTTGGCATTGGCACTTGGCGGTTGCTCACAGGGCTCCAGCGACAGTACACCCACAAGACAGCTTCCCGCTAATGGCACAGATGCCATAGCCGACGTTGTTGCGAGAACCGGGCCCATCGTCACCGTCAGAACCGGTGAAATGGTGACCTTTGATGGCAGCAAGTCTTATTCATCCTCTTCAAACCCGCTGTCTTATCAGTGGACACTGCTGTCTCAACCAGCCGGCAGCACAGCAGCATTTCAAGATGCCAGAGTCGAAAGTCCCAGTTTCATGGCTGATGCACAGGGCACCTACGTTGCTGGGCTAGTGGTCAGTGCGGAAGGCATTAACAGTAGCCGGGCAATATCACTTGCGACGGCAAGCACACCCCCAGAACAACCGGGCTTTCACGATGGACTGTCTGCCGATTGTGCAAACTGCCACGAAGGCAATGAGCAAGGTATTCCAGTAAAACCCGCCAACCACATTGCGACAACACAGGTATGTGCAACCTGTCATGCCGCGACGTCGACCGGATTTTCAACGCTGCACAAGGTTGATCACAGCGAAGTGTTTGGCGCATGCAGCGAATGCCACAATGGCACTCTCGCGATCGGTAAATCTGATACACATATACCCACCAATGGTGAATGTGATGATTGCCACACAACCAGCAGTTTCCTGGACATCGGCGCAAACGGCGGTTTCGATCACACAGGCATCACCAGCGGTTGTACGGATTGTCACAACGGCAGCATCTCTACAGGCAAAACCCCGACACCCCCTCACCCGGATACCGGTGCAGAATGTATATCCTGCCATACCACTGACAGTTTTCTGAATGCATACCCCGACCACACCAGCGCTGCCGTGCTGGATGAGCGATGTGATTCCTGCCACGGCATCTCAGCGACGGGACCGACCATTGGACATCCAGATACATCTGTTGATTGTGGCTCTTGCCATGGGGTTGCCACCTTCAGCCTGAATGGCGTGTTTAACCACCGAATCGACCCGGCACTACAATCCTGCGATTCGTGCCACACCGACACCAATTCTATCAACGCACCCGGCAAAGGCGCCGCTATACCCAGCCATATTGCGACCAGCGAAGACTGCGGCAGTTGCCATAACACAACCGACTTTGCTGATGCGTTTGTCGACCATACCGGGATTGTCGACAACTGTGCTTCCTGCCACGGCGTCACCGCGAGCGGCAAACCAGCCAACCACATGCCCACGCTGGAAGATTGCAGTGCCTGCCACACGCCGGGCACATTTGCGACAGGCGTGTTTGATCATCTGAATGTGGTCGACACCTGCGAAACCTGCCACAACAACACAATCACGCTGGGCAAACTGGCTGACCATCTACCCACCAGTGAAGATTGCTCCGCCTGCCACACAACGGCCACATTCACCGGCGCAACGTTCGATCATGCCGGCATAGACACCAGCAACTGTTCTGCCTGCCACGATGGCAACATCAGCCTCGGCAAACACACTGACCATATTCCTACATCGCTGGATTGCTCAGCCTGCCACTCGACCAACAATTTCACGACCTTTGCGGGCATTACATTTGGACATGAAGGCATTGACCCAAATAATTGCGCAAGCTGCCACAGTAACGGTCTAGCCACGCCAAAGATCGACAATCACATTCCGACCCAGCAGGATTGCAGCAGCTGCCACGACTCAACCAGTATGTTTGTGTCAAATACATTCCTGGTGACGCAGCACCAGGACATTACCCGAGGTTGCGAAGGCTGCCACACAGGGCAGTTTTTCCCCGACGACGCCGGCCTGTTTAAAGCAGCAGATCACCTGCCCACAAGCCAGGACTGTGCCCTATGCCACACCAATACAACGTTTACCAATTCGATTTTCAGCCACGAGGACATCTCCGGCAACTGCGCGTCCTGCCACAATGGCACCAGTAACTTTGTTGCCCTCGGCGCACTGGGCAAAACATCTACCCCGGTACACAACACCACCACACTGGACTGCTCCGCCTGTCACAACACCACAAATTTCGCGGATGCTTTTGTTGATCACACCAGCCCGGCCGTTTTGTCAGCGACGTGCGAATCGTGCCATAACGGCATAGACGCCACCGGTAAAGACGCCAAAGTTAACCCCGCCCACGTGATCACGGATCAGGATTGCAATGTTTGCCACACAGCGGGCGGCGCGTTTGCCCCTGCCATTTTTGATCACACCGGCATTAACAACAATTGCGCTTCATGCCACAACAATGTGGACGCCATCGGCAAGGCCGCAAAAACGAATCCTGAGCATATACCCACGAATGACGATTGTTCAGTCTGTCACGTCACGACATCATTTGCGCAAGCAAACTTTGACCATCAGGGCATTGTTGGGGATTGTGTCTCCTGCCACAACGGCACCACAGCTATCGGCAAAATGAGCAATCATGTACCCACCAACGCCGATTGTGTGGAGTGTCACCAGACCACAGGCTTTGTACCCGCAACGTTTGATCATATCGGCATCGTAGATAATTGTTCATCCTGTCATGATGCAGGTTACGCCACAGCAAAAAGCTCAACGCACCTGGCCACCACTCAGGATTGCAGCGTCTGCCACACTACCCGTGCCTTCACGCCAGCCAATTTTGATCACACCGGCATCGTCGATAATTGTGTCTCCTGCCACAACGGCACAACCGCTATCGGCACGGAGGCGAAAACCAACCCCGACCATATCGCCACTAGTTTAGATTGTTATGCCTGCCACACAACGGCTACATTTGCTGGTGGCTCCTGGACCCACGATGCAACCAGCGACGGGCGTTGCAGTGACTGCCACAGCGATGGTGGTGGCGCGACGTTCAAACCGGTTGACCATCTGCAAACCGACGTGCAGTGTGATACATGCCATGTCACCACAGGCTGGGCGCCTACCAACTTCAGCCATGATCCCCAGGGCAACTACCCTGGCGATCATCGCCGCGACCCCGGATGCACAGGCTGTCACGGCCCCAGTGTGAACGCTGTGTTTACGTATCCGTCAGAGCGATACGCACCCTTCTGCGCAGGTTGTCATGAGCGCGACTTCGAACGTAAAGGGGATCATATTGGCGGTGAAAACGGCACCGTCGAGCAGAATAAAGATTGCAGCAATGGCGGACGCGGCTGCCATAGAGTGTCGGATCGAAACTTTGACTAGCTGGAAGGCTTCCATTCCGGTTCAGGCGTTCCCGCAAGCAGATGCCGAACCATCTGCACAGAGACCGGCTGGTCCCAGGCCCTCGCCCCATAAACTTTTTTTACTACCTGCCCTTGCCTGTTAACAAGCACGGTAAGGGGTATGCGGGTTGCGCCAAGCATCTTTTCCAGGCGCAAATCCTCGTCGATGAAATGCGGAATAGTTGAGCTGATAGAACTGAGATAGTCTTCAGCACGTTGCCTGGAATCATCTGTAGAAATACCAATGATGACCACATCACCAATATCATCCATCCAGGCCAGACGCTCTAACGAAGCCATCTCGGCTCTACATGGCGAACACCAGCTTGCCCAGACATTAATGATCAAAGGTCTGCCGGCAAAATCAGCCATCTCTCTTGAAACGCCACTGAGACCGCGTAAATAGGCATTAGGCAGGTGTTCACCTTCCCGCACTTCGCTGGCTGAGTTCAGTTCTTTGACTTGAGCTGCATACCCCACAGCACTGAAGATCATGCAGATGCATAAAGAGATGAAGGTCAACTTTTTCAGCACGACACTCTGACCCGAGCACATCTTCTGTTAAGACGGCTGATCGCTGGATTCCACGATATCAATATCAGGCACAGGCACCGTCTCAATTTCGTACAGTCGGTCATCCTCAATATTACTTTCATGATTGGCAATCTCCGACTCAACAGCGCGGGCTGCTTCAAACCGGGCGATATGAAACAGGGCTTCACCCTCATTGACCAGCGGCAGGTTATTCACGCAAATAATAATGCCATCCGCTTCGGCCTGTAAGACCTCCTCCTGAGAGGAAAATGGTGCCGAAATAACCCCTAACGACGCGCCTTTCCTGACACGTGCGCCCAGTTGCACAAGGGGCCTGAACATGCCGTCCATAGACGCTCTCACCCACTTCGACGAACGCGCAATGTAAGGTTCAGCACGAACCGTTTGAATGCGCCGACTTGGCAGCATCTTCAGTGAACGCATCACGCTGACAATGCCACGCACGCCGGTGACGATAGCGCGTTCATTCAGCCGCAGTGCTTCACCTGCTTCGTAGGTGATGATGGGAATGCCTAACTTGCCTGCCTCACAGCGCAGGCTGTTTTCGATAAGACCGGAATTGATGATCACAGGAATAGAAAAACCCATGGCCATTTCCGGCACACCTGGCTCATCCAGCGCGGCTCGAATCTGAGGCAGGTTGTCTCGATTTACAGCCGCCGTATGCAGATCGATGATATGTGTACACCGCTTAACTATATTGTCAAAGAAAACATGTGCCACACGTGAGGCAATACTGCCTCTTTCGCTGCCGGGAAATGAGCGATTCAAATCTCGTCGATCCGGCAGATACCGCGATTGATGGATGAAGCCGAACAGATTCACAACAGGTATGAGGATCAACGTGCCATGCAGCCGATTCAGCGAGCGAAAGCTGCGCATGCGACGGATGACTTCCACCCCATTGAGCTCATCACCGTGAATTGCGGCACAAATCAGTAAGACGGGGCCAACGTAGCGCCCGTGTATAATTTCCACAGGCATATTCAGCGGCGTATGGGTATAGAGCCTTGCGGTCGGCAGGTCGAACTGAACACGCTCACCGGGTTGTACAACCTGACCCGCAATCTCTATAGGCCTGGCCTTTATGCGCCTGCTTTGCTCTTTCGGCGGCGACTCCGTCGAGCCAGCGGTCAAGATTCATCGCTCCTGGCTTCGGAGGCTCTCTCGATCGCTTCCGGGGCCAGATCCTGAATCTTGGGACGCCTGCGTCTTTGTGTTTTCTTCGGAATCATGCCGCGCATTGATTCCAACTTGCCAAAACAAAGCAGTTTATCGAGCGGTTCAAGCACGCGGTCCGAGCGCGGATTCGGTATGACCCTAGTACCTCGGTACAACGTTAAAACATTGATGTCTTTTTCAGCAAGGTTGCTCTCTTTAATGGTCATGCCGACAAAATCTGATCCGTCAGGTACGTAGATTTCACTCACCCCGTAACCTTTGCTGACCGTTAACCTCTGGCGTATGTCAATTTCCGGGAAGTCTACCTGCGCGGAGATGTAATCGATGACCGCACCAGCGACATCCAGACCTGTACAGGTTTCGATACCTTCCAGGCCCGGCGAGGAATTCACTTCCATGATCTGCGGACCCGTGGCGCCTTCCAACATGTCGACGCCAGCAACGCGCAAGCCAAGGATTTGCGCCGACCTGACCGCTGTTTCTTTATACACATCGTCCAGTTCAACTGCCTCAGCGACACCGCCACGGTGCACGTTACTGCGAAACTCCTGACCTTGCGCAACACGTCGCATGGCTGCCACCACGCGATCGCCCACAACAAAGGCGCGTATGTCTTTGCCTTTACTCTCGGCTACAAACTTCTGCACAAGCACGTTCTGTTTCTGGCTTTGCAACAGCTCAATGATGGATTCTGCTGCCTGCATGGTTTCAGCTAACAACACACCGATACCCTGCGTACCTTCGATCAACTTGATGACCACCGGCGCACCACCCACGCGCTCAATCGCAGGAATCACATCTTTTTTGTCACGTACAAAAGTTGTGCGGGGAATACCAATATGGTGGCGGCTCAGAATCTGCAAACTGCGCAATTTATCCCTTGAGTTGATAATGCCGTGGGCAGTATTGGCGCAGAATACGTCCATCTCCTGAAACTGACGCACAACCGCTGTGCCATAGTAGGTAATCGACGCGCCGATTCTCGGTAGAACTGCGTCATAAGCGTTGAGCGCCTTCTGGCGATAGTAAAGGTCTGGGCTGCCTTGTTGCAGATCAATTGCAAACTTGAGGGTATTCAGAACTCTAACGTCGTGGTCACGTTGCAGCGCCGCCTCTTTCAGGCGTCGGGTGCTGTAAGAATTTGGACCACGGGACAGTATTGCTAATTTCACTGCAATTTCACTCCTGAATAATCGAGTTTTTATTGGGCAACGGGCGGACAGGAGTTGCGAAGAGTCTACACCTCAGCGTGGAACTTCTTCGCAACTCATTGTGGCTATGAGATATCGGTCATTCTGCCGCCGCAGGTATCCCTAACGCCTTTAAACTGGTGACCAGGTCAGCGCCAGCGGTTGCCGGATTGGTGTCTTTATCTATTCTGATGATGATGCCTTCTGGATCAATATAGTAGGTCCAGCGCTGGGCAAAGCCTGCTGCGTGTAACACACCATACGACTGGGACATGGTCTTGGTGACGTCAGCCAGAATCGGAAAGTTGGCATTATTTTTCTGAGCAAAACCGGTATTGTCTTCGAGAGAATCGACGCTGGCCATGAAATAGGCAATGTCGAACTTTGTAATTTCTTTGGCACTGTCACGCAGCGCTTTACATTGGATGGTTCAGCCGCCGGTATAGGCTTTGGGGAAAAAGGCGATGACAACATGTTTGCCACGCAGATCTGAAAGCGTGTGGTAACCACCATCGCTGCCGGGCAGCGTGAAATCAGGGGCCATGTCACCAACCTGAGGTGCGGCAGCAGCGCTACCGGCAAAAAGCACAGCGGCAACAAACAGCAGGGTGCGCTTCATTTTCATGAAATTCTCCAGTGATCTAAATCAAAGACAAGACCCTACCGCGCGGCGGCAGCGCAGCGCAATCGATTTGCACAATTGACCTACAGATCAGATTGACCCTTACTCTGCACGACGCAAACCAGAAACCGGATCCATATGAGCACTGCAATACCACTCCTGGCATTGGGGTTCAGGTTGTTCTATCTGCTGGCAGGCGCATTTGCACTGGCGGGCATTCCCGTTTGGATCGTGGCGTATCAGGGTCTGCTACCCGTTAACGGCTATCTGAACAGTCTTGCCTGGCATCAGCATGAAATGCTGTTTGGGTTCGCACCAGCAGTTATGGCAGGTTTCCTGTTAACAGCGGTGCGTAACTGGACTGGCCTTGCTACCCCAACCGGAGCTGGCCTCGCGGCACTCGGGTGTCTGTGGCTGGCAGGCCGCGTTACGGCCTTCACAGGACCCGCGGCACCCGCCGTGCTGCTCGATTTGGCGTTCCTGCCAACACTCGCCATTATTCTTGCGATACCGATCGTGCGCAGCAGGAACTTCAGAAACTTAAACCTGTTGTTGGTTCTGGCAGCCCTGGGCAGCGCCAACACAATGTATCACCTGGCTTACGCCGGCCTTTTACCGACACAATGTCTAGCGGTAGCCATTAACGTTGCAATAGACATTATTGTCATTCTGATGGCCATTATGGGCGGCCGGGTAATCCCTGCATTTACCGCAAACGCAGTCCCAAGCGCGAAACCCCGCCCCTCGGCCGCTGTCGAAACTGTCGCGATCGGCAGTTTGTTGCTGGTGTTATGCGGCGACCTTGTGGCACTGCTGTACACACTCCCACCCGTCGTCTGGTTCGCATTGTTCTTCATCGCAGCTATCGCCCACGGCATTCGTTTGTGGCGCTGGGATGCACACCCTGGTTATCGCAATGCCTTATTGATCATGCTGCCCATCGCTTACCTCTGGATTCCTGTGGCTTTGGGTTTGCGCGCGCTGGCGGCACTTGCACTGGTGCCACTTTCCGCAGCCATCCACGCGCTGACCATCGGCGCGATGACCAGCCTCATGCTGGCAATGATGATGCGCAGTGCACTTGGGCACACCGGCAGAATCCTGGTGGCAGGGCCCATTGAGATAGCGGTCTTTGCCTTGCTGCAACTGGCAGCCGTTGTGCGGGTAGTGGCCACACTTCTGGCGCCTGCCCACTACAGCAGTCTGGTTACGGCTTCCGGCACATTGTGGGCACTGGCCTTTATACTGTTCCTGTGGCGCTATGGACCGATGCTCATGCGGGCGCGTATCGACGGCAAACCAGGTTGAATGAGGCCTTCGACTTATACGGGTGCTTTGCGCTCTAACCGCGGCTCCCTTGGCGACGGCAAAGACTTTGCCAGCAAGGACAACAGTTCCGCCTTCTTGTGACGACTATCGGGATCATCCCAAAGGTTAACCAATTGCCCCGGATCATCGTTCATATTGTAAAGCTCTCCTTCGCTGCCCTCATACAAATGACTAGGTCCATAGGCTGTACACAACCAACCGGAGTGCTCGTAGACACTCTTCAAATGCATATCTATCGGACCATGTTCTGAATCCCACTCAGTGATCACATGGGTACGTTGCTGCTGAACCGCCTGCGCCTGAGAGACGGGCAACACCTGCCCTTCACAAAAGGAAGGCACAGCAATACCAGCAATGTCACAGAAGGTACTGGCCAGATCCAGATGCCCTACCGGTGCCGCAACTTCTGCAGGAGCAATGTTGGCAACCTTCGCGGGTTTCCAGATCATCGGCACCCGCATTAACGCATCCACATGATATGGGCCTTTAAACAGCAGACCGAAGTCACCCTGGAGTTCTCCGTGATCGGTGGTGAAGAAGATATCCGTATTATCCAGCTGTCCCGTGCCTTCGAGGTACTTAAAAACCCGTTGGCAGGCGTCGTCGATCAACTCGTTTTCGATATGGGTCATGGCATTGATTTCACGCAGCTGATCCGCTGTCATTTCTGCTGGCACAAATTCTCGTGGCGATTCAAGATTGGTCCACAGCGTGCCCTCAAAATAGCCTCGCCAGTGTTTGGGTTTCTGATCCAGCAGCGCTTCCAGTTCTTCACGGTTCTCTCGATAAAGTGCGGGCAGCGGCACATCACGCCAGTTCACGCGATGTAACTCTGACGCCGGCACGTCCCAGGGGTGATGGGGATCAGGAAAACTCATCCAGCAGAAAAACGGGTCTGCCTGAACACCTGCGTGGTTGAGACTCGACAGCCAGGTGATGGTTCGCTCTGCGACCCAGTCTGTATGGTAAAGAGCACGCGGCACATCAACAGGCCAGACCTGAACCGCACCGGTGTCTCCTTTCCCCGCTGTGTTCTGGCCTTTATCCGTTATCATGGGATAGAACTTTTCTTTTTCAGCTTTATGTTGATTCATCCACAGATCATAGTGGCTGTGCCCCTCGAAAAAATGGTTAGCTAACTCCATATGCTCGAAGCCCCGGTGTGGTCCGGTGTTGTTTTCCGCCGCCATACGGTTTTCGAAGAATTCGGCAGGGCTGCCTAACCAGGGCTCGAAATGGGCTTTACCAAGCAGACCCGTACGATAGCCATTGTTCTGCAGGTGATGCGCTATGGTCGGTTGGTCTTCGGGCAATGACACACCATTCATCCAGACACCATGGGAAGCGACATGCTGACCGGTCATCATGGTCGCACGTGCCGGCATACAGCCCACATTCTGATTATGCGCGCGCCGGTAGTTAATGCCGGAGGCCGCCAGTTCGTCAATCGACGGCGTCCGCGCGATCTGTCCGCCGTTACACCCGAGCGCGTCGTAACGCATCTGGTCTGTGGTAATGAACAATATGTTTCGCTTCATTCGGCTTCACCTGCGGTAAGAGGCACATATGATAACGCGCAAACACGAATATCGCTGCTCAACGCGACTTTAAACTGAGCCAGAAAACGAGACATAATGAAAAACTGAGTCGGCGTACGAAAGGAACTTGAACATGACTTTTCCCAGACCTGCATTGCCTAAGTTTGGTGTTTTAATCTTCTCCATGTTCTTTGCAGGCCAGGCCTCAGCTTACGAGCAGATTCTTGCTGAGACGGCCAGCTCACTTGTACCCGGCCCGGTGGAATATGCGGTTATTGCACCAGAAGGTTTTCGGAAGATGCAGGACCTGCCGATTGTTCTCAACCTGCACGGTGGTGGCGGCAACCGAAAGGGCTTATTGCGTCAGGCAGAGCAATGGGATGAACTGTGGAAAAGTGGTGCTATTCCACCGGCTATTGTGGTGATGCCGTCGGTCACTGCCCGTGGTTTCTACATGAACTTCAAAGATGGCAGCGAGCGCTGGGAAGATTTCATTATCGGGCCGTTTCTCGAACACCTGCGCAAATCCTATCCCGTAACAAGCCAGCCTCAGCGAACTTTTATTACCGGTATCTCTATGGGCGGTATGGGTGCACTGCGTATCGCTTTTAAACACCCGGATCAATTTGGCGCGGTAGCGGCTCTGGAACCTGGTATTGAGCCGATACTGGCGTATTCAGACATGCTGCCTAAACATCGCTTCTGGCGCGGCGATGAGTTATTCGAAGTGGCTTTCGGTAAACCTGTAGACGAAAACTACTGGGCCGCCAACAACCCGGCAACTATTGCCAACACTCGGGCTCAAAGGATTCGAGACTCGGGCCTGCAGATTTATCTGGAAGCCGGTGATGAAGACCAGTTCTGGCTTTATGAAGGTGCGGAGTTCTTACATCGCATTCTGTGGGATGCCCGTATCAGGCACGAATACCATCTTGTACGCGGCGCAGATCATGTTGGTCCCTCTATGCAGGAGCGCCTGGATGAAGGTATACGATTCCTCTTTCGCTATCACACGCCATGGCCTGAAACACGGCGTATGAAAGCCGTCGATCGCATGTTAGACCCGCTGAAAGCAAATACTGAAGGCCGCGATCACTATAACGAAACACCCCGTTAGCTCGCGCGCCGACCGTTGACAATACACATAATAACTGTATTGTTACAGTTATTAATTCGGTAAGGGTTCTTAATGGCCACCCCAGCACTTAACGTTCTCCCACAGACTGACGCCGTTGGTAAAGCGCTGTTACCGGCACTGTTCAACATATTTGGACACTGGGGGTTAACCGGCAAACAGCAAATGGTGCTTCTTGGCCTGACTAACGAGAAGACCTTATATAACTGGAAGAGCCAACCGGAAAAAGCCAAGCTCAGCAAAGATACATTAGAGCGTTGCAGCTATCTGCTGGGCATTTATAAATCACTGCAGATCCTGCTACCTGACCCTGAACTGGCAGACGCCTGGTTGACCACACCAAACGATCACGCTTTCTTTAATGCCACTACGCCACTTTCACGCATGCTGGCCGGTCAGGTTATCGATCTGGCTGAAGTGCGGCACTTTTTAGATGCCGAACGTTCCGGCTGGTAGTGCTTTTGCAAGACATCAAGCTACAAACTGTGGATCAGACAGTGATCCGCATCATTCCGGCACGCTTTCCACAAGTCGATCTTTTTGAGCGAGTCGCGTCACCTGAAGACTGGGACATTCTTTACGCCGTTGAGTCGCTGACCAACCCGCGCCTACGCGACGAGATAGGAGACATCGCTCTGGTCCCCCCTGGCGAGCGCGTCTACGGACCTGGTGCTTCCTGGATAATGGCCGCCTTCACCCATCGTCCCAAAGCAGGCCAGGGCGGGCGCTTCAACGCCAACTTTGGCACTTACTACTGCGCGCCCGACGAGGCCACAGCGATAGCGGAGACCACCTACCATCGCGCACGATTTCTACGCCAGGCACGTATCAAGCAGACGCGAATTGAGATGCGTGTGATCAGAGCTTATCTGGGACCAGCTGAACTGCATGACCTCTGCAATCTGGATGATCCTGCCGTGTATCACTTAAGCGATTACAGTGCCGGACAGGAACTGGGTGCCAGATTAAGAGACCGGGACAGCAGCGGCATTGTCTACAAC